TCCTCTCCCTCCCACCCCCCTGCTCTCTGCCCCTCCTCCAGCAGGGAGGGGAGTTTCTGCAGAGCAGACAGGACACTGCCCCCTGGTGGGGCTCCCGGATGCTCACTTGGGTTGCACTGACCCCCTGACCACCTATCCTGGACTCTGACCCTCTTCTATTGTGTCTCCAGCCCTCCTGACAATGCAGACCGTGACAGTGCGGGTTCGAAGGCAAAGCAGAGGCAAAGGACAGCGGCACTCGGTGAGTTCTTGTGACTATCATGTGAGAGAGTCCCTGGACCCTTGTCTCTTCAGAAACACTATGTGTTCCAGGGGGGAAAATGTTTAACTTAATTTTGTTCTCAACATTGTCAAAAAGTTGTTAAGGTATAAAACGTACAAAACTAGTTGGGAGGTTTCTTAGTATTTTGGTATATAAGACTGTAAGGCTCAACTACATAAATAGTACTTGAATTCTGAAATACACGTAAACGGTTTCTTACAAAACACTCAGTGTTAACAAAATACCTTACTACATTTTTGTGGCAATATACACAACCAAACATACACTCATTTTCAATTTTTGCTTCAATAGTTTGATGTTAGGGAGCCCTGGTGGCCTAGTGGTCAGAAACTGTGCAATCCCAAAAACATGTGGTTCAAATCCATCCTGCTCTGCAGAAGATTGGACGAGCTCCTCCCATGTGATTAACTGCTCTGACGACCTAGAGGAAGGTCAGCTGTGGGTCAGTTCTTACTGGACGGCACATCACCACCACCTGTGTGCTGCATCGTAGAGAGGGTGGTTACCTGGAAAGACCACAGGTAGTATTTTAGAATGAGCCTGTATCTCAGGATTCCAGCATGTTGGCTGGCCATAATTGGGGTGTCCCATCAGTACGGCTGCAGCTGAACTCTGTTTCTCCCCCAACACACACTCTAGCCCACATTTCTTCTTCTGAATCCCCTCACCCAGGAGATGACACGCCACTTCTTCTCCCTGGGCTCCGGCTTGCCTCTTCCTCACCTCTGCCCCTCTGCTGCCTGGCGCTCAGGTCACAGCTGCGGTGCCTCATGTGCCAGCACTGCCCTCCCCCCCATCTCAGCCATCTCACCTGGCACTGTTTCTTTGCTGAGACCAGGGCCTTCGTGATGTGTGCCCCTCCTTTCTGACTCAGCGCAGAGTGAGTTAGGAGACGGGTGACCTTCTTGTGTGATCACAGTGTAAGACCCTTTCCATCATACACTTGACTTCCCACATCAAGTCCTTGTTGTTGTTAGAGAACCTCCCATTGTTTCTGGTTCAAAGCCATTCTATACACTATAGAACAAAGCACTGGCTGGTCTTGTGCTGTCCTCACAATCACTGGTAACTACCTATTATAGAATTGGCTGACACAGAATTTAAAGAAACAACATATGATCAAGAGGCAATGAGGATGAAGGCTGCTCTGAAAAAAAAATAAAGCAAAAAAATCAATCCCCAGGAATTGATGGAATACCCATTGACGTATTTCAACAAACAGATGTTGCCCTGGACATGCTCACCAGGTTGTGCCAAGAAACCTGGAGGACAACTACTTGGCCAACTGACTGGAAGAGATCTATATTTATTCCCATCCCAAAAAAGGTGACCCAACAGAGTGTGGAAATTATTGAACAATATTACAATTATCACACACTAGCAAAATCCTGCTGAAGATTATCCAGAAACAACTGGAATAGTACCTTAACAGAGAACTACCAGAAATACAAGCTGGGTTTAGAAGAGGTTGTTGCCCTAGAGACATTATTGCTAATGTTAGATGGATTTTGGCAGAAAGCAAAGAATACCAGAAAAATATCTGTGTTTCATAGTCTATGAAAGGCATTTGACTGTGTGGATCACAACAAATTGTGGTTAAACTTGAGGAGAACAGGAATCCCAGAACACTTGATTGTGCTCATGCAAAACCTACACTTGGACCAGGAAGCAGTCCTCAGAGAAGAGCAGAGGAACACTGCATGGTTCAAAATTAGGAAGATAGTGCATCAGGAATATGTCCTGTATCCATACCTTTTCAATCTATATGCAGAACATATCATTTGGGATGCTGGGCTCTATAAGGAGGAATGTGGCATCAGGATTGGAGGAAAACTCATCAACAACCTGCATTTTGCAGATAATACAACCTTGCTTGCTGAAACTGAAGAGGACCTGAAGAGCTTGCTGTAGAAAGTTAAGGACTGTAGTCTTCAATATGGTTTAAAACTCAACCAAGAAGACAAAGATTCTCACCACTGGGCCAATTGGCAATGCCATGCTA